GTCAAATCACATTTGGAACATTGGGCTAGTTCTGGGCAACAGGAACTGAATTTCGTCTAAAATACAATCAAATTGACGAGAGGACATAAAAGTCCCAATATCTGTGGAAAGGTTGAAATATTTGTGACAATTTCTCCCAAATAAAGACTGAGGAGTCAAACATACCATTTTTCAAATATCTGAAAAAGCTGTTATTTTAAATAGAGATTGTTTTCATTCTGCATATTTCCATAAAGATTGACCAGGGCCACTGGATATAAACTGGACATGGATTTCAAATTATTAAAAGATTTTTTTTCAAACTATTAGATATTTCTCTAAAAAAAAAAGATTACCCTCATGAAGTGCTACATTCTCAGTTTTCTTATCTTGATTTTGTATTTTATTTTTATTTCTATTGGGCAACACCAGTGATTCCCACATGCTTTGTATGCTGACCTCTCTCCTGACCTCTAGGTCCAAATATCCCCTGGATTTCCAACAAGCTTCTCAAAGCAGATTCACTATCTGAATACACCAACATACTTCTATTCTGGGCTTCCCTGCTCATTTCTCAGTCACTGAAGACAAAAACTTGAAGGGCTCAAATTTTCCCTTTCTTCATGATGATGATGGTGACTACTTTCCATTGAATTTTTACTATCTGAAGTTAACATGCTAAATTTTACATATATTACTATATATAATCTTTACAGTGATTTTTTTTTTAAGTTTGTGTTATTTTTCTCATTTTATAGGGGAAGCTGAGGCTTAATAGGGTAAGTTGAATAGCCTGGATTTGTAGTCATGAGTATCTGACTCTAAAGTCGATATGATTATTCCCTCCCCTATATAGCCTTTCCAATTATTTATCTTTTCTTCTGTAAAATGTTTCTCCCTGCAGGCCTTCTCATTTTTCATCTCTCTGAGAGTGAGGGAACTCTGGCTCTTCACATCGCTGTCTTTCTCTCAACCTCCATGCAGCAGCTTATATGTCATCCTAACCGAGAAGACCCCCTTTACTCCAGCCTCGGCACCCTAAGCATAGTGCTCGTCATCACTAGTTTTCTGTTATATTGCCTTATTTATAGCACCAATTCTTTTTTTAAAAAAAAAAATAAAAAATTCCATGGGGGAGAACTTCCTGTCTTGTTCTTCTCTGAATCTCCAGGACCTAGATTGCACTCAGTCAGTATTTGCTGATGGACTGGTTGATGGGATACGACTTTTACCCCATCCCCTCATGTGTAGTCTTTCCACCACTTGACATGGTTCAAGCCCTTATCATCTCATTTAGGCAACACTGACAGTCACCCATTTTGCCTCCAGTCTCTTCTCACTTGAAGATACAGATACAGAAAGAATCATGTCCCCGGCTCAGAAATCTTCAGTAGCTAGAGAATAAGACTAAACTTAACCTGACACTGAAAATTTGATACTAACACTACATATGTTGCCTTCTATGTTCCTCACGACCAGTGTTGTTTGAGTAAGCTGTATAATAGTAAGCTGTATAATTATCAGCTGTATAAATTCATGTCCTCATATCTATTTAATGTTGTTTCATCCCAGAAACCCTTTTTTTCCCTCTCCTGAATAAAAAAATTCATTCCTTAGGAATTATCTCTTCCACACGTGTTTTTCTGGTTCTATCCTTCAGAGAAAAGTTAAACATTTCCCCCACTCACATATATTTCCATTGCACTTTGTCCATTGTCTTTATATTTGTAGAATATATTACAATTCATTATGCACTTTTTTATCTTCCCAGCTGGATTTAAGATTACAGAAATAACATATAATAAATGCTTAATAAATGACTAAACTGTGAGTAAAGGAGAAAGTGTTTTAAATGATATCTAATGCCCTTTCATAGTTGATATTTTATATATCTTTAATGATTCCATTATTTTAAAAATAAAAAGTACTTTGGTAGCCCCTATCACATTCTTTTACTTTTGATCCATGTCCACTCATTAAAAGCAGTTAATGTAAAAAAAGAAAAAAAACTATATTGCCAAAAGTGGGGAGGGGATTCATATAAAAAAATTCTTAGGTTGTTTAATGCTGACACCTATTAAGCAACTACATTTTTCATTTAAATTAAAAATCTCCTCATACCTCTCTGGTGGAAATTTAAATTGATGAATCTGTTTGGAGGACAAGCTAGCAATATGTATCAAGAGTTTTATAAATGTTTATGGTCTTACATTTAGCATTTGACTTCTAAGAAATCAAAAGAAAAACAACTAGGAAAAACAAAGGTACAAAATCAATTGTATCATCAATTTACTATTATATTATATATTATTTTATACTAAAATAGCCAGATAAAATTGGAATCAAAAGCTCAATAACAAGAAAATGAGGACTATTTAAATAAATTAGAGTATCTGCATACAATTAGAATACATCTTTGAATAATCAAGGGCACAAAAAACTAATCATAACAACATGAAAAAGTGGCAAAAATTGTTTATCATATAATCCCAAATATACACTTATGTATACATATATACACATACATATACACATGAATGCATGCATACATACATGCATGTGTGTGTGTTGGTATCTGTATGTGTGTGGGGAGGAGAGGGGTAATTAATCTATAATATCTAGGCAATAAGACTATGTATAATTATGATTTTTTCCTTTATTATTTTTTCTTTATTTTCCAGCTCAACAAAAATAGATATTCCTTATGCATAAGATTTTTTAAATTATTTTGAAAGCTCTCGCACTCAGTCTGATTGACATTCAGACAATCTAAAGTGCAGTTAATGATCCAGAATCCTCCCAGTCTTGGAGCCTAGTAGGACTACTAGCTAACCACACAATATAAATTCTGCTTCAAACAAACACACTTCACACAAAAAAATCTTCCATGCAGCATAAGTTATAAAATGTCTTATGAAAAATTAACACATTTTAACCAAAGAGCTCAATAAAAAATAGTGTAAAGAAGGGGATAAGTCTAAGAAAGAAAGAGCATACATAATTCTTGGATGAAGTTGATATATGGAAGTGATGAATGGTTAACATAATGTGCCAAGGAGAAAGGGACATGTGTGGGAGAGATGGCCTAATATAATATGTGTACATATTCATGTCTGAGTAGAAAATGCAAAATATATCCCATCTGTTTTCACCCTCTTTTTATTCTCTTTAGTTCCTCAAACAGCTGGTTACCCAGCAGTGGACTTTCTTGCTGATCGCTTGTTAGAGAAGGTTTCCATTATTATTTTAATAAACCAGAGATGGCTAATGGGGCTAATTCAAGGGGACAGACACTGTCACAGCTTACGTACAAATTTCCTGACATAATGAGTGGTCCTGGGTTATTAATTTGGTCTTTAGTTTATTGCTCCTGCCAGGCACATTTTGTTTACCTTGAGTTATAAACTATTATGTTATCAGGACACTTGCAACAAATCCCTATCTAAAATAAGGTGGTAGAAGGTAAGAGACTTGCACAGATTAATTTCATTGCAGTACAACTTCAAATACGCTATGTGAGCAGTTTGACACTATTAAGTTATCATCACCTGAAGTATCTGCAACACTGAACTATAACAAGTAAAACTTTTCTGAATATTTCTATTTCATTCATTTAAATAATGTGTTCTTTCTGACTCAACTCAAATGGCCACCATCTCAAGGCACACAGGATGTTCCTGAGTAATGAATTTAGTGCTCAAGGGTCAGTGGAATATTCCTTCCACAGTAATAACCAAAGTTAATATGCTACAATGGGAAGAATACTGTAAGAATAATAAGATCTAGATTTGGGTTCTACCTCGACTTCTAATCAGTTGCATGATCTAGGACATGTTATTTAGCCAGCTCACCTTCAAATTAAATATCTAAAGAAACTAAAATGGAGTGGAACCCTAGAAGTCTATGCTTCCACCCCAGTGGTTCTTAATCAGGCATGGTTTTGTCCCTTTGTCCATCTACCCAAGGGACATTTGGCAATGTTAGGAGACATTTTTGGTCATTAAAATTTTGATGAAAGAGCTACTGACATCTAATAGGTAGAATCCAGGGCTGCTGCTAAACATCCTACATGCCTAGGACAACTCCCCAAAACAAAGAATTACCTGACCCAAAGTGTCAATAGCACAATATTGAGAAACCCAGCTCTTATCCTCCAGTTGCATCATTACAGAAGAGAAATTTCAAATGATACATCAGAACTTTAAACGTTTACTTTTTTATACTATGAAGCTTGAAATTTATGGTGGGATTCTAGATGGTTGGTGAACTTCATCTTCTAAAAGATGGAAAAAATTTAAGAAAGACTAGAATATCACCATCTATTTCAACTGTCTCAGGGACTTAATAATAATATGTGCTTATTTATATAAAATGAGTCTTCTAAACCTTAAGTACAAGTGGCATTTTCTCCTATCTCAGTAAAAGATTTCAAAAATCTGTTTTCAAGTGACCAAAACTCTTAACATCATGAATGTGATAGCATTTGGAAATCAATGTGGGTTTATCTATCAGTCTATTTAAATAGCTGACCATTTACTTGGTTATTTTCCTGAACTCTGAGCTTGGCTATTTTTTCTAATACTAAAGTTGCCAATGGCCTCATATTACTGAAGTAATATGAGGATTAGATGATAATATATACTTGTTGGAATTTCATTCCTTAAAGGACTCAAGATTGTAATATAAATGATCATTAATTAAATGTGAAGATTAGGAAAAGTCCATAGTTGAGAATCTTTTTAAAAAATTATTTTTAAAAGCCAGAGTTTTATGAGATTAAAAAAAAAACATATATTGTAAAAAATATTCTTTTTTTAATTTATTTGTTTTCCTTTAACAGGAGAACAGTGAAAAATCTGTTATTGACATTAATGAACACTGTAGATCAATATGTTCTTTGAAAAAGAGATGGAGAAAAATCTTGCCTTATTTTTTCTTTAAAATTGTAACAATTTTGAAATAATTCTGTCACCATGGGTCCTAAGTATGGATTTATAATAACTGAAGTTCCTATAACTCACCTTGAAGATTTCATCAGAGATGCTGTCAACTTCAAAGATTCTGTTTTCCATTGATTTCTCATGTTGCCACACCCTATCAAAAAAATGAAAAGAGGGTAAAATTTGCTTTAGATTAGAAGTTCTAAGTTAGAGTTCCAAATACATATCTCAACAAGAGTCTTAGCTAAACAGATCTTCTGAAAGTCCTTCAATAAACACAAAACTATGTTTTAATATTCATAAAGTTAGACCTCCATGCGTCCCTGAGTGTGAGAACTATAGAACATTGTGGGAAAACCAAATGAACCTGTATTTTGTAGGAATCAGAGAATTGTTGGGTAGACATATACATATCTGACTATCCTACCACTTGTTCTTTATGTCCTAGGCTTTCCTTTGAAATTCTGTGTAGATAGTTCCATTTCTTTCACTTATAGTTTAAGCAATTTTAGAAAGCTTTAAAAGCCTTGTACTAACAGTCAATCAACTCTTAAAGTGCCTCGTCATTCTTGTCAAATCAGCCTTAATGTTTCTTGGCAGAAAATCCAATTGTTTCCGTAATGGTGGACTTAAAGAAACCCCAAGTTAATGCTGAGGAGGATTCTTCAATTTCTCAAAGAAAGACTGGTACAAATGCTTTAACTTGATTTGAGTGTTCAACCCTCAGTTGTTTGACAGTATAAATTCTCCTATGGCATTCTGACATCATAGAGAGAGCACAGAAGTTAGGGACCAAAAATATCTTCCTTAGAATCACAGCTCTGCCATTTTATAGTGGCGGGTCTTTGGATATATTATGTCACATTACTGAGTCTTAGTCACTATTATGAGATAAAAACAATTTATAGGGTTATTGTTGGCATTAAAAGGAAAAATGTTGTGAAAATACTCTATATATTGCAAATTACTATACAACTGTCAGTCCTAATTTCTGCCTTTAAGGATACATTGAATAGAGACACTGAGCAAACTAATCCAAGGGCAGACATGGTAGAACACACACAACTATAAGCTTGTGTGTTAATATCATGGCAGCACAGTCTTTCTCTACATTACAAGCAACCTATTTCTGTAAACTGCAGATGGAGGAAGAACTAGCTCCTACTCCCCTAGAAGGTTAATGTCTTTTTTTCCCCCTTAATATCAAATGTGTAGCAAGAAGATTACCTCATGAGCTTCTATTTTTATGCAGATGTAGAAGGAAAAGGAGTTGGTAAACTAAGGGTCCACCATAAGAAGGGACCCTTTCCAGGAGAGATACCACTGCTAAGGAAAGTGGTTCCCGATATTCAGAAGTAGGACTTAGATGCATATTTTAATAGAAGCAAAGTAAGGTGCAGTAAATGTAGTTCAAATAATATTTGCCATCATTGTTACACTTCCGGTTTCCAATAGTGTGCAAAAAAGGCCCTTATAAACAGCCTCCAAAGCTAACCATCACACATGGCATTCTTTCTATGGGAAAATGTGTTTAAAATACAAGCAGGTAAGTTTAAATTAACATTTAGAGTTCAACTCCACTCAAAGTTAGGAAGTGCTTGTATAACCAATTAAACATAATTATACTGCAATTTCTACCAGGTTTAGATTTCCTGAGGATGGAATCAAGGACCCGCCTACCAGTGAACTCATAATAGTGAGCAACTAGTCCATGATGTGCTATTAAGAATCCTGGTTTCATGGAAACAGTCCCTGTCTGCTTTGGTGCACATCACCTTTCTCTGAGTTTTCCTATTTTACCTTATATTGTGCTTATCTGATGAAACTAGTGTTTTAATACAATATTCTACTTGCTTGAATAAGAGAAAGGGATAATGAAATTGACTTTTCCTTCTTAAATTACCAATAACTCCACTCTTAAACCCTAGTGTTCTTTACAACCTGATGTGAATATTACTAAATAAATCACTTTTCAGAATTATTAATATATTAATGACTATAGTCCAGATAATTTTATCATCTCAGCTTTTTCTACCATGCCAATAAATATTTGTGACTGATTGGTAGTATGAGGGTGTAAAATGATTCTATAGTACTAATATTATTGTGGCATATTTGCTGTTGTTCTGTGTTAGTCGCTCAGTTGTGTCCAACTCTTTGCAATCCCATGAACTGTAGCCTGCCAGGCTCCTCTGTCCATGGGATTTTCCAGGCAAGAATACTGGAGTGGGTTGCCATTCCCTTCTCCAGGGGTTCTTCTCGACCCAAGAAACCAACCCAGGTCTCCCATATTGCAGGCACATTCTTTACCATCTGAGCCACAAGGGAAGCCCAGCACTTATATTACTATATAAATACCTCTTTACAAACCATTTCCTGAGGGTAGGGAATATGTTATTCACCTGTAATAAATACTATAGAATAAAGTGAATCAAATAAATAATTGTTCTTTTATGACTACATAAGAGATATTGAGAGTCAAGAACTGTGCTCATGATGTTTTAACTTCTTGACAGCTTCACAAGTCTCATAATCTGATAAGTTTTTTCATTCAGTGAATCATCTGAAGGGTAGTTGTGGTTTCTGTGTATCCATTGCATGAACAGAAGACTATGGACCCTACATTAGTCATATCCTGCTATCTTATATTTAACAGTGATATCTTGAGTCTCTCACAGGAATTCTCAAGCCGTTGATTCTACTCTGATCATTCCTAATAATAGGTCAGTTGCAGATCTGAGGAGACTGGTTGGACTCTCAGCAACTCTACTCACTATCCACATAAGTTTGAGAAAGTTACTTAACCTCTCGAGACCTCAGGTCTCACATCTGTAAAATGAGCATTGTTGTAATAAGACAACTTGTGTAAAAACCCTAGAGGGCACCTGCATATGGCAAGGGTGCTATGGCAAGAATCATTAAATGTTTTATCTGCCTGCTTCCATCTCCATTCTCATCCTTCTTCAATAGCTAAATTTGATGAAACCATGTTGGATATCATCTTCCTAATGGCCGTGATGATTCTACCAAGGGAGAAAATGTAAATATAAAAGTGGAAATTTCTAAAAACATGAATTAAATCACCTACATTTGAAAAGAATCTATAATTCCCAATACCTCATTCATTCATTTATTCACTTAAGAATATTTTACTGAATGTCTGACATGTGCCAGAACTTAACTAGCTTTGAATATACAGTAATTAATAAGACAATATTCCTTACCCTCTTAGGGCATTTAGTCTAGTGGTCTTCAAACTGTGAAGAAATCAAATGCTTGGGTTTATGTATAAAGCTGGAGAATAATTTATATCTTCTAATCATGAAAGTGTTTTATTGTTTCTTAACTAAGACAAAATTTCCATGTTGAATTGTTTCCCAGTAACATATTTTTTAAGGTTATCACAGTGTCTTGTACATAGTGGCTGCTGAAAAAAACACTTATTGAATTAATGAAATTTTAGAAAACTTGTATTTAACTTTAAAATGCCTATGAAGATACAACACGTCCAAAACGACCTTAGAAATAGTCACAGAATGTTGACTGAGGAGCAAAGAATAATTTTATGCATCATGCCAGCTCTCCTGCCTCCTCTAGGAAAAACAGACAGGTTGGCTATCTAAATAAATAAAAATTTTTCACAGCTGGTGATTTTGGGTATTTAATTATGAGATGAGAAGGAACTGCTTTTCCTACCAGAGAGGAACATGAATTGGTCTTACCCACTGAAAAGATTTTAAAAAGCATATTTTACTGAGAATAAGTTACACAAGAGAAAGGAAAAAATATCCACCCACTGGTGCATGAGCATACTAAACATTCATTCCATTGAGCTTGCTGTCAACTTCCTCCTTTTGCTTCTGTGAAGAGACTTTGGGAGCCTTTCTATTTTGTTCTTTTGTAGCCAGGGTGGTTAATGGTGCTTCATTGAGTCTCACTGCACTTAGGATGTATCTGTATTTCTGCAGGAAGTGAAGAGGCTCTCACTGCATCAGATGATGAAGAATACCCTTGTTCCAACACCCACATGGCATTGTGCAATGCTCACTGAGGCAACACTAACTTCATCCTCTGCAATGGAACAATGGTAAAATTTGGGAGCTATATGTGTACTTAGGATTTCTTAGTTGTTTGATCACATCAATGAGGGGATATGCAATCAATCTACCCCTAAGACAGTGAGTGGTATTGGCCATAACTCATTACTCCGTCAAGGATTTGGCATTTCAATCGATGGGAAATGATGTGTGATCATTCTAATTTATTATACATCATTTCCCATCAATCGACAAGCTGAAGCCTTGACATAATAAGTACTTACAGACACTGTCAATCATTCTTAGTTTAAATACCTCCCAGTGCTGCCTCTTGGGATATCTTCAAAGAGTCATGAAAATGGGATGTGCCCCCAAATCTCAAAATGCGATTTCATCCAGCAGAAGATTTTGAGATGACCTCTCGCTGGTTGATTCTATCAGTAAGTACTTAAAGTCTGGACCATCCACCAAGCTAAAGGGGATGAAATTGGTGAATATTTTCACTACCCATGATTTTCCACCCAACAAATCCAAATGGGATTCAAAGCATGGTGGTGTTACCAGAATCATAGGAGTACACATCTGTCTTTGGAAAATGCCAATCTTCTCAACTTACTTCATCTCAAAAAAATTGCTATTTCCTGAGTGCTTTTTGGAATAATGTCAAAGCATATTTATTTTCCTGCCTTTTGTCACTGTAGGTAATGACATCACAAGAGAGCAGATCACTAAATAGTATCAAGATAACAGATCTCATGAATTGCCAGTCCTTTTAAATACCAGAGGATGAGAACTGTCTGGTTTGAATAGTTCTAATTGTTTGAAGCTGAATTCTCATGAAAATAACATAAAATAATTCTCAAGTGCATGTGCTAAAGCAACAATGTCCAACATCATGATTTTGGACATTACATGTTGCATATGGTTTTCATGGTGACTCTAAAAACTGCCTGCTGCTTCATATAAGCACTTTTTGGTAATTTTGAAAATATATTACGACATTTTCAGTCTACTTTGTGATGATTTTCAGAAACAAAAACATATTGCCATGAGAATTTGCATATATAGTAGGAGGAGAATTTTTATTTTCACCAGGAGAAAAAGGGAACATTTTCTGAAGAAAGAAGGGTGATGTACTCTAGAACTGACACACATAGCAACATTCATGTGAGGACAGAAAGAAAAACACTGCATTTGGGCAGGAAAAAGTTTCTTTGCCTGTGAATATCTCCTTTTAAATATCTTGGAAAATAAGTAAGTCAAGCTGCAAAGGACTTTTCAATCTTAATAAATTTTTTAAAAGGGGGAAAGAAAAGCAATAAACTCTACTTGATGTTTTTTCACCAGCAACATTTGTGGCATCAGCTTTTTCAAATTTTTTTTAAGAATCCAGCTGTAGAAGTCTGATCATTGAAGAAAGCCTAGCACAGTGCTTTGCATGCAATGTGCGAGTATGATCTAGAAGTCAGTTCAGAGATGCTAAATCATCACCAAGAAAGTCTGATTCCACCCTGCTCAAGGACCCAATACCCAAGGGATTAAAAATGACAAACTAATACAATGGATAGACTCCCTCTATCCATTAGTCTAGTTAATAGACTCTCAATGGATTTCAAAGCATTCATAAATAGCTCTTTGAATCTTCACAATCTGCCTTAGCTAATAACTTT